TACAAAGTCACCTAAAAGTACTACAGGATTTTTAAGGTGTTGGGTTGCAGTAATAGGACACCATGGCATTTTCTTCTATAACATTTGTTTACCACTAACCCAGTCCAAGTAAAACAAAGTATTTGCTGACACTGGCTGATAATAGTTTATGAGAAATATATCATTGTATTTAGTTCAATCTGTAATTGTGAAGGAGCTATATAAGGGAGGGCAAAGTGTTACATTTAACATTCACTGAACATGTGCTTAGAGTATTGAAAAGTCAAGTGTCTGAGCAGACTTGACATTCCAAATTCTAGTGGGCAGACCTTAAAATCAAAGAAGCACTATTATTTATTTCTTTGTCATTGCACTTCACATAGTTGACTGTCAAAATGAGTGTAGTATGAAATAGAAAAACTTTAATATATGAGGCAATGTACAGCACTACTACTGCATAAAAAACACTTCAAGAAATGTTTTTCAGTGTGTTACTAGGTTGCAACACAAGCACACTGAACAAATCTTTGGGATATGCCAATTGCTAGAACTGCTTTTTTTCTTAGATACTAACACAATTAATGTGTTTTTTTGTTTGTTTCTTTTTTTTTAACTATAGGTTCTTCATCAATCTGTCTTCAGAGTTTGACCTAGGACCACTCTTCCCAAAAGATTAAAACATTTCCAAAACATTTCCCAAATATATCATCAATCTCTATAACACTTATTCTAGGACCTAGGGTGTTAATGTCAAGTTGCATGATACTAATCATTCTGATATTACTTGCAAAGTAGAGAAATTGAAGTTCAAGAAATGCAATTGACCTGGTTAGGTTTACATAGTAAATTATCAGGGGAAGAAAGACTGTACAGGGCTGGCAATATTATTTTTTATCATAAAATGGCCATTTTTTTTTTAAAAAAAGCTTTTGAGCAGTATAATATTTCAGTCAGACTGTATCATATAAGCCTGGACTGCTTCATTAGGGCAAAATTCTCTGTACCACTCATCTCACTTAATTTACCCAAATCAAGATTAATGGAAAAACACTTAGGATTTTTTAAATGATAAATCAATAAAACAAATTCCTTCTAGAAATAAATCTCTAAGAATTTCAAAGTTTTAAATCAGTAATTTAAGATATCACCCGAATAACTTTTATGGGTAAAATTAGTGTCTCCTGTAATTTGAAACTATATTTTAAGATCCATTATACCTGATATCAACTATGAAAATTAGTAGTCTCTATTTGGGTGCTTATTATATAAACTATGACTTTCAGTAAAATTTTTGTATAGCATTTTCTGTTTCTCAGCCAACATTTTTTTCCATATCTTAGTTCAGTAGTCTTTATCAGAAGAAAGTATAAGAGAAGGAGAAATGTAAAATGTAAAGAAGTTACTTCTCTTATTTGTTGGTTGTTTT